CCAGGTGGAAAAAGGTAATCTGTGGACCTAGTTTTCCAAAGAAATCCATTCCTCCGCTTACCAAAAGCAAATATCCTTCTCGCCTAATGATCTGGGTGAGGATTAAATACGGAGTATCTTGTCGTTGGGCTCCTGTACATGGTACACTGGACAGTGCAAAATTTGCCTCACTGATCAAGGAAGTTTTAAGTGACTACGACTCTCGGAATGTCTTCGGTAAAGCCATACTCTTACAGGACCATGCACCATGTCATGTTTCACGTGAGGTATGTCACAAAATCATTTAAACTCAAGCATATATTGTTTTTTTCATGCTTAGACACGATCTGAAATGGCTACCTCAAAAATCGAATTCATTCAGTTTCCACCTAACAGCCCGGATTTGAATGTGATCGAAAACTTTTTCTGTCTTGAAAACAGAGCTGAGTCACCTTCCTCGGGAATGGTCGTTGGAGGCCAGGGTGCGGCATATACTGGAGGAAACTGACAAGTGATCTAATTTCCAAGTTGGTGGACTCCATGCCAAAAAGACTGACTCAAGTGCTCCAAAATAAAGGAGGACACACAGATTATCAAAAATATGAAACTCCTCAATCTGTGTAATTGATATAAGTTCTTTTCACGAATAAAATTTTATCATTTACCCCACAAACGTTCGGTTATCTCACAGTCGATGCGTCAGCAACCATGGTCGAAATGGAGAAATTGTACTTTTCTAACGCGCTCATATATATATATATATATATATATATATATATATATATATATATTCTGAACAAACTACGGGGGAACCCAACAAAATACATATAGCACTATTGCGAAGCAACCCTTACCCAACGTTGTCGGGTGGTGGCGGTTTCGAACCCGGAACCTTCAGTGAAAACAGCTAAAACTGCCCGACTACCAGCAACAATACAGGAGGGAACAATACACGGAAAGGGATCACTTGCAAAGCGAAATCGCCAATCACAGGAGACCGAATCCGTTTGATCAACTTACTTGGACCAAATTGGACAGTTCCGGTCTGCGTACATCATTCAATTTCGCACTGATCAACAACACGGCCGAAGCGCATAATCTGCGATTCAATTTATTCACCAGTAACTATTGCAACCGGGCAGGGAAGAAAAGACACACGAATGAAGATGTGCAGGGGAAAGAAATTATCATAAACTGATGTCGGGGTAGAATTACGAACGAGTTTGAGTACGAGCATTTAGCATGAGATACATGCTAGCCTGTATAGCATAGTATCATTCACCCAGACTAAGTCTAAAGTATACGTATTTTCTGTGTTTCAGATGGGTCAACTAATTCGGTAACCGGTTTCGCACAAATCAGAATTTCAAAGGTGAAATTCATTGTGTATATGGCAAATGAGGCATGAACTGAAAAGCTAGGAAGCACTGGACAGCTGTTTCGACTTAGTTGGGTCGCATCAGTAGT